GCACTGAAATTCCTCCGACAGCAGCTGTGTTGCTCCATGTGTTCTGTGACGGCATTAGGAACGAAGCTGCATTCTTTGAGCCATCAAGCCTCTTCCTTAGTCGAAGATCACTTCTTCTGCCTTATTCAACCCGCCCTATTTCTGAAGAAAACAGTGCTCTTTGCCTCATCAATCCCCTTCCGTATCCAATCGAACTGTTTCAAGGTGAATCTCTTGGACACGTGCATGCCATTGATAAAGAACAAATCTTTACCATGCCCCCAGATTGTTCCAGTGACTACGACGCCATCAGTGCCCTCAACCCTTGCAATATACCACCTTGCGAGCTTTTCGATTCATCGATTGCCGATGGACTATCGCCATCTGAACGCTGTGAGCTCCTTCAGCTGCTCTACCAGTTTCGTGAATTCTTTGACGTTGGTCAACTTACCCTTGGCCGAACTCCCAGTTTTTTCACTGCATCGACACAGGTTCCAACTAGCCAGTACGACAGCGACCATACCGTGTTTTCGCCACGGAACGTCAGGTTATCACCGAACAAGTTGACGATATGCTCAAGTGCGACGTTATCCGACCTTCCCAAAGCCCATGGGCATCGCCTGCCGTTCTCGTTAAGAAGAAGGATGGTACAATTCGCTTCTGCATTGATTACAGGCGCTTAAATAAGATCACTCGCAAAGACGTGTACCCTTTGCCTAGGATTGATGACGCCCTTGATTGCTTACAAGGTGCCGAGTTTTTTTCATCGTTAGATTTGCGTTCGGGGTATTGGCAGGTGCCCTTAGCAGATGGTGATCGTCCAAAAACAGCCTTCGTGACACCGGACGAGCTATATGAGTTCAATGTCATGCCCTTCGGCCTCTGCAATGCGCCGGCCACATTCGAGCGCATGATGGACTCGGTTCTGTGGGGTTTGAAATGGAACATATGCCTCTGCTACCTCGACGATATCGTCGTCTTTGCACCTGATTTCGCAACACATCTTGTACGCCTGAAACATGTCCTCACGTGTCTGAAGAATGCGCAGCTCCAACTGAATCTCAAGAAATGCCACTTCGCTGCTCGGACGCTCACCATTCTTTGGTCACGTCGTATCAAAGGATGGCGTTCTTCTCGACCCGGCTAAACTACGCGCTGTCGCTGAATTCCCCAAACCAACGACTGTAAAACAGTTACCCAGCTTCGTAGGATTGTGCTCCCACTTTCATCGGTTTGTGCGCAACTTTGCCTCCATAATTGCCCCTTTGACTAAACTTATAAGCAGTGCTAACGACATCTCGTCATGGTCTTCCGAATGTGATCACGCATTTACCACTCTTCGCCGTCTCCTGACATCACCGCCTATATTGCGCCACTATGATCCCACGGCTGCAACTGAAATCCATACAGACGCCAGCAGTGTCGGCCTCGGTGCAGTTCTCGCTCAACGCAAGCCTGGATCCCCTGAGTATGTCGTCGCCTACGCCAGCAGAACACTCAACAAGGCTGAGGTAAACTACAGTGTTACCGAAAAAGAGTGCTTAGCCGTACTTTGGGCGATTGTGAAATTTCGCCCATACTTATATGGCCGCACCTTTGCTGTAGTTACAGACCATCATGCCTTATGTTGGCTGTCGTCGCTGAAGGATCCATCAGGTCGTCTTGCTCGTTGGGCTCTGCGACTTCAAGAGTATGACATCCGCGTCGTCTACCGTTCCGGCCGCCAACATACCGATGCTGATGCGCTCTCACGATCACGACTATCCGCTGAGGTTGCCTCTATATCTTCTATAGAAGACGCGCTGCCCGCTCTTGACATCGACACAATGACCTCTGCACAGCGCGACTATCCATGGATTACTTCGCTTCTGGACGTCTTATCTGGGGTACCAACACTTCCCACCACTCGAGCAATGAGACGCCAGGCTTCGCACTTCACCATTCGAGGTGGCCTCTTGTACCGGTGCAATTACTCACCAGACGGCAGGAAGTGGCTGCTCGTTATTCCCCGAAAGCTGCGCTCTATAATCTGCGCATCATTTCACTCCGACCCGCAATGCGCTCACGCCGGTGTCTTCAAGATCTACGAACGTTTAACGAAGCGGTACTACTGGCGTGGGATGTTTACTTTTGTTCGACAGTTTATTCGCGGCTGTCACGAGTGTCAGCGACGAAAACAGCCACTGAATGCAGGAGCAGCTCTACTACAGCCGCTTGCGTGCCCTGACCGCCCATTCGATCGCGTTGGAATCGACCTTTATGGACCACTGTCATTGACCACAGCAGGTAACCGGTGGGCTATCGTTGCTGTAGATCACCTGACACGGTACGCCGAAACTGCTGCTCTTCCTACGGCGACCACTCAGGACGTCGCATCTGTCATTATTCATCGGTTTGTGTTGCGTCACGGCCCTCCTCGCGAGCTCCTCAGTGACCGGGGCCGTGTATTTCTATCCGACGTAATCCAAGCACTTCTCCGTCAGTGCCATATTGTACACCGGATGACTACTGCTTACCACCCTCAGACGAATGGCCTGACTGAGCGGTTTAATCGGACCCTGGGTGACATGCTCGCGACGCATGTGGCATCTGACCAAACGAACTGGGACCTGTTAGTTGTTACTGGTTCGTGAGGAAAAGGAAGAAGGCACCTAATTTCTGTCTACCTATAGGCGACACGGCGCAGTGCCTGGTTCTTCCGTTTGCGACCCACGAGTACAACACCGCTACCCAAGTCACCACTTGCTTTTCCCCGTTCTACCTTCTATACGGACGTCAACCATCGCACACAACTGACACTTTGCTGCCATACGCACCAGATGTATCTGAGTGCACAACCGTGTCTGAAGCCGCCCGTCATGCCGAAGAATGCCTCCAACTAGTGAAGCAGTTTACTACGGCTGACCAGCAACGCCAGAAAAAGGCCCGCGATGACGACCACCCTCCTGCCGCAGAGTTCTCCCCTGGAACCCTTGTATGGCTGTATGTACTACCCTGTGCACCTTGTTTTTCTACCAAGCTACTTTCAAATTACCATGGTCCATACCGCGTGGTAGAGCGCACATCGCCCGTCAATTACGCCATTGAACCACTTACGCTACTCGGGGACCATTGTCGGCGTGGACACGATATTGTTCATGTGGACCGCTTGAAGCCGTACTTGAACCCGCTCATTCCCACCTGTTAGATCGCCAGGATGGCTTCATCTTTCTCGAGGGGGGCAATTATAATGAAGGAATGGTGACAACAAAAGGGAACAACAAGCACCATCGCAAAGTAAGGCACTACGAGATCGGCGCTCGAGTTCCTCCATCTTCCTCGTCCTGTCGCTATCTCGAATCCTCCACCTGCCCGTTTGGTTCGCCCAATAAACCTTTTTACAGATAGATAGATAGATAGATAGATAGATAGATAGATAGATAGATAGATAGATAGGATAGATAGATAGATAGATAGATAGATAGATAGATAGATAGATAGATAGATAGATAGATAGATAGATAGATAGATAGATAGATAGATAGATAGATAGATAGATAGATAGATAGATAGATAGATAGATAGATAGATAGATAGATAGATAGATAGATAGATAGATAGATAGATAGATAGATAGATAGATACGCTCAATTCGTGCAAGTTCACTAATAAATGCTTCGCATTTATAATCGGCACGGCTTCGCACTGCCGGGGCCCAGCGTGAAGCAACGACGGAGCAAGGCGGCCTCCTATCATTCCCTTTATTTCTCTCGATCTAGAGTCCTGTATCTTTATTGTTTTTCTAATCTCTCTGTTTTCTTTTTGTCTTTCTTGTCTCAGTTTATTTCTATTTTCTTCTCTTTTCTTTCAATTTGGTTTTCTGTTTCTTCATCAATCTATCTTTCCTTTTGTTTCTTTGCCATCTTTGTCTCTCTCTCTCTTTCGCACTTGCTTGCTCTTTATTGCTATCCTTTTTTCTCTCTCTGTATTCTTTCCTTTCTCTTTTCTTGATTCTCTCTTACCAGCCACGGTGGTCTAGTGGTTATGGCGCTCGAGTGCCGGCTTGCAGATCGCGGGATCGAAACCTAGCCGCGGCAGCCGTATTTTCCATGAACGCGAATATGACACGTGAAACAACCTTTAACGTCACGATTAGGCTTGCAACCGCTTATCACACTCATGTCGATAGATAACTTCTGAAGATCAGCATTTAAATGGGAAGCGTTAACTACTTGAAATTTGGAATAAGAAATTGCCTACTTCTAGAACAAAAACATGAGTACTGAGCAGGAAAGCAGAAATCTCTCTCGGCAGTCAACTGAACTGATACTAATATCTTCTACTAAGGATAAAGGTAGGCAAACGAAGAGGCCTTCACGTTCTCCCGGGTGATTCGCGAGTGCAATTGTAAGGGATCGAATGAAGGAGTGCGTGAAGGAATAAATAAATGAATGATTGACGATTGATTGATATGTGGAGTTTAACGTCCCAAAACCACCATATGATTATGAGAGACGCCGTAGTGGAGGGCTCCGGAAATTTTGACCACCTGGGGTTCTTTGCGTGCACCCAAATCTGAGCACACGGGCCTACAACATTTCTGTTTCCATTGAAAATGCAGCCGCTGCAGCCGGGATTCGATTCCGCGACCGAGTGTCTTAGCCACTTGACCACCACGGTGGGGCAATGAGTGAATGAGAGTCAATGAATGGGTGAATGAGCGGGTGAGGCAGTTAGCGAGTGAATGAATAAACTGAATGAATGAGAGCCAATGAATGAGTAAGTGAGTGAATGAGTGAGAGAGTGAATGAGTGAGTGGGTGAGTGGGTGAGTGAGTTACGGTGTCCTCATCGAAGCTGCAGCTGCCTTCACCCTTTTTCCCTGCCCTCTTCGCGCAGCCCCTATTAGTGTCACCCACAAGCCACTGGCCACTATCCGACTTTCTGAATTGTGTTCGCAAGCTAACGCTATAGTAATTCGAAACGCAGTAAAAGAGCTACTAGTGTTCTGCGGCGCCAGATGAGCGACGCTCTGTTTCACCTCTATTGTTTCCAGGGATGCTTGAGGGTAGCTTTCAGTTTGTGGGCGGGCTTTTTGTTCGGGTTGCTGGTGGGCGTGTGCACGGCCAGGCAGCGGAACACCACAATCATCAGCCACAATGAACCCAGCGCCAGGAACAGGGACAGCAGTGGGTGGACCTGGCAAAAAGCACGTGATTCGCGATAGATTATTTGTTAGGTACGTATTTTTGACCGATACTCGAGATCAAAAGACGCGAAAAAGTTTTGGAAACAAAGTAACAATTGACAGAGGCAGAAACAAAGAAGCAACTATTTCCACAACCAGTACAAAGCGTCTTCTCTTCGCAGTTCGCATCGGCTGCCGTTCTGAGCCCCCCAACATTATATGGTTTCTCACACGTCTCGCTGAAGATAGTCCCACATCTTTTCTTTATTTTTGTGTTTTTACATTGAGCACCTTAAGAGGTTCATCGCAATAGTACTGAAGCCATAATTTTATATAATCGTTCGACAAATGTCTGTCTGGTTGGTTATGAAAACTGGAAAGTGATTTAAACTCCAGCCAACAAGTATGTGAAGAAACCCGACGTTTCGCAACCGACTTAGCTCCTTTCTCAAGGGAAACTTGGACTACGCAGCAGCGGCGTCTTCAAAGCACTCGCGGGGCGGTTTCACCATGGAGCGCAGACCGTGTGTATACAATGGGGTAAAGGTTCCGAGAGAGCGGTTGATGTTTTAGGCTGTTCGCTGTATATGCCATGACTCGAGTAGCAATTTTCTCTTCCAGTTGGTCTCGCTTTCAAGGATGGTTGTTGCTTCGAAATTAATCTGGTGGTCCAACGTCTCAGCATGCCGCACAGAAATTAGTGCTTTTTTCCTTTCCTCCAACAACCACAATATAAATCGCAGGAAATCCACTTTCAGTCATCAAACAACTTACATACTAAAATAAATTAACGCAGATGCCTAATTTTGGTTGTACCAGAAAAGTTTTCAAGCTAAGATTTCAAAAATTTTTTATGCCAGAAAGTGCGCGTCTTAATGATTAGCACACGAACTTACGCAATCATTTCTGTAAGTGACAATAGTTGCGCGATGAAATTTTCTATTGCGTGTATTATAATTAACCACAAGAATATTCCACACGTTTCATATTGTTCTACTCTACTCATGTGCCAGAGTGGTCGTTGTTTCAGTGTCTTACGTACAAGTTTTTCTGTATATTCGCAGCCTGATATGAAGTAATGTCATCAAAACTTACTTTACGTTTTTTCTCTAGTTCTTCCTTTCTCCAGCTGGATGTTGTGAAAAGTGTTTTGTTTAAAAATATTTAATAATGTTGCCAAAAACATTTTGTTTATTAAAAATCCCTCCTGTATTCTAAGCATCAGGATGATGCCTTTCAGATAAATGCAATGTCATACGCACGGTTTTTCTATCTTCATGTAACGGTCCTGTTACACGTGGAGAGACTACATTGCACAAACAGCGCCAAATGACTGCATATAGTCCCGATTATTGTGGAACCTTCTGATAAGTTTGCGCGCCCAACATGGTCAATTGAGCCTATTCTGGACCTGAACCTGCTACCAATGGTAACGCTGCAATCTTCGATGCTACATCTACAAATATCAATGCACTTTAATGCTAATCAGTGTATTTGACCAACGATGACTGTGCGCGCCGATAACGTCACACTTGAATGTCCTTCTTTTTTTCTTGGCAGATGTCCATTCAGTAGAAGTTTCAGCTTCACCTGGAACCGAAGCTCAAGTTTGTGGAGCGACGACAACGCCGTGCCTTGTTCTGGTGTCGAGCTCTGGAAAACATGAGGAGAGGCGCGGGAGAAAGCACAGGCGTGGCGGTGTGTTTCGCCGAAACGGGAGCGCGTGCGACACGCGCGGAACTCGTTCTGCAGTTGGTGCGAGGAACTTAGGCCGTCAGCTTGGCACGCTAAAACGAGACGCTGGCTGTGCAAAGGTGCCTGTCCGCGATATAAGCAGCGGCTCCAGGGAAGCGTCAGCGAGGTCCGAAGTATTGTAGTGTTGTGGGATGCCACAACAATGCAGACAACACCAAGGGACGCTCTCCACGTGTAGAGTTCCCCAAAAAGTCACAACCGGCGAACACAGCCACATTTGCGAAAGATAGAACAAACATGACACGAGAGCAAAAAAAAAAAAAACGAGGTGAGCACTTTCATTTGGCTTGCTGCTTTGTGGCAAAGACAGCAGGTCGTGCTCCCGCGGCACGGAAGACATGAGTCGGACATTTAATGCCATCGCCGTATAACTTTAGTTTTTGTTTGTTTTTTTAGCACGCCGCAAATGTTTGCACATGACATAGCTGCTGCTGCTACATACCACATCAAAACAACAATTATGTGGTATTCATAAATGTCAACGCAGCACATTGATAGAGTACGTGGCTTCATACTAAGAGACTTAACTCAAGGCATACGTCATACACGGTATTCTCACGAACTTGAGAAATGCATTTCGCGCTGACTCGGGCGTCCTCGTCTTCCGTCATCTGCTCCATACCATAAAAATTACTAACGAGCTTCACTCCTTTCGTTGATTCGCCTCTCTAAAGTGTTTTTCCAGCTCAGAGATCTTTATGAAGCCTAACTGCAGGCGGGTACATTCGGAGGTGGCTCAGACGCATAAGCACGTAAGCGAGTGGCAGCGCGTTGTTGGGAAGAGAAAACGCGCGATATACATCCCCAACTTCTACTTTTCTACCAAAGATGGCACTGCCTGTCAAGAGTCGCATCACCACCATGTGTTGCTTTCACTTCCTATTACTAAACAAATATGATTACTATATGAAGTGCGCGCAAGGGTATTGGGCTCAATGTCAGGCACAGTGCCTTGAGCCCCAACATCCTTTTGTTTCTTACACACGGAAACGACAAAACCAAGTTTTTGAAAACTCTGAAACGCTGAGCTCAGGCGCTCCAGGCAGGCTTACCGTTATAAATTCCTTGATTTTGTTGACAGACTTTTCACCGAAGAAGATTCGCTGGAGGCGCGCCAGCGGTCCTTCGGCGTCAACGTCACGGCACTTGCGAAAAACATCGCAGTAGCCCCGCAGCGCGTTGCACGGCGAACCGGGAGTCATCGTGATTCCGCAGTGAGCCTTCATAGAAGGAAACTCGCACGCTGGGAGGCAAGCCCCTGCCGCAGAAATGGATTGGTACACAACTATATCGCTGGACTGAAATCAGACTTTGTACACAACGAATTGCTTGTGACTGCTTCGAAATTTTTCATTGTTTTACAGCGAAGGTGACTTAAGCTGGCCATTAATCAGCTTTACGCCCCTAAAATGCGACATAAATATGAAAGGCGCCAAGGACAATTACCATGATGGACGCAGCATTAGAGGTTTCCGGAAATTTTAGCCATCTGGTGGTCTTTAACGTGTACCTAAACGTATTATGAAGTCTTGGTTTAGATTACCTTTTATTAGGCCCCAGGAACCGGCAGCCGACAGCTACGATGAATGAGCCAAGATGATGATGCTACGCGACAACGATGAGGATGCATGAGCCACACATGATAATGATGATAATGTACCGGTGAAGAGGATGCGTATACTAAATGCCCACATCAATCCCCCTCCTCCCCCGTGAAAGCGGCCAGCCTGGCCGCGGCAAGTCAAGGGGACAAAGAACGTCGCATGAAGGGCTTCATACGGGAGACATGGACGACCTCTGTAGTTCGATAACGGCGATCTGCTGGGGCTACAAGTGGCGTCACGCAATAATTCACTGGTGAAGTCTCTTCAAGAACTGTGTACGGCCCAATAAACCGAGGCTGAAATTTGTCGCACGAACCAGGTGTGCGAACAGGCGTCAACAGGAGCACTTCGTCTCCAGGTTGGAAGGATACATCACGATGCGATTCATCATAAACTAGCTTTCTGTCTTGCTGGCGGGCTTCAGTGTTTATACGAGCTCGTTGGCGGCACTGTGCGAGTCGTGAAACGTATTCCTCTGAAGAGCATGGAGATGAATTCGCTTGGCAGGTAAAGAAGGAGACGTCCAGGAAAGAAGTAGGGGAGCGTCCATAAACTAGGTAAAATGGCGAGTAGCCGGTTGTTCGCTGAATGGCCGTATTGTAGCCGAAAGTGACGAATGGTAGAACAACGTCCCAGTTTTTGTGGTCTGGTTGAATATAGGCGGCGATCATGTCAGCAAGAGTGCGGTGGAATCGCTCAGTGAGGCCGTTAGTCTGGGGATGATGACTAGAGGCAGTCTTGTGAGTTGTGCCGGAGGCCTGAAGAAGTTCGTTCACTAGTTGTGAAAGAAAGGCCCTTCCACGGTCACTGAGCAACACACGTGGAGCACCATGACGCAGTATAATGGCTCGGAGGATGAAATCGGCAATCTCAGAAGCTGAACCTGTAGTAACGGACGCCGTCTCGGCGTAGCGCGTCAAATGGTCAATGGCTGTTACTATCCACCGGTTTCCAGCAGTACTGACTGGGAGGGGGCCATAAAGATCGACGCCTACAACTTCGAATGGTGTGGCTGGGCACGGAAGAGACTGTAGTTTACCGGCGGGAGCAGATGTTGGTAGTTTTCTACATTGGCAGGTAGTGCAGGACCCGACGTACCGAGCTACACTAGTGGTAATGCCTGGCCAATAAAACCGACTTCGAAGGCGATCGTAGGTTTTATGGTAACCAAGGTGACCAGCAGTCGGATGGTCATGAAGTGCCCTGAGGACTTCGGACCGAAGCGATCGGGGTAGAACGGGAACCCAGCGCTGACCGTCAGGATGGTATATTTTGCGGTACAGCACCGAGTTGTCCAGCTTAAATTGTGGGAGTTGGCGACGGAGCCTTGCATTACGTGGACGGGAACTGCCAGTGAGTTAGTCTATAATACGTCGACAGTATGGGTCAGCCAACTGTCGAGAAGGAAAATCGTGCGGGTCGTCCGAAGGCAGCTGGTCCATAGAGGCGAGAGAGGAAACCGCCGTAGACGTGGACTCCAAGGGCGTGTTGTGCAAATTGATGGCGGAAACCCCGAGTGGAGTCGCTGGTAGTGGGCAGCGAGAAAGAGCATCGGCGTCACTATGCTTCCTGCCACACTTGTACACGATCTCAAAATCATATTCTTGGAGGCGTAGAATCTAGCATCCGAGGCGTCCCGACAAGTTCTTGAGTGTCGAAAGCCAACATAAAGCATGGTGGTTGGTCACAATGGTGAAATGGCGGCCATGCAGATATGGACGAAATTTCTGTACTGACCAAACGATGGCGAGGCACTCCTGCTCGGTGATCGTGTAGTTCCTCTCGGCTGCGGAGAGGACGCGGCTGGCGTATGCAACGACTCGCTCTCGCGAAGAGTTGTCGCGTTGCAGGAGCACGGCTCCTAAACCGCGGCCGCTAGCGTCTGTGTGCAGGAAGGTCGGTGCATCATCGTGAAAATGAGCAAGTACAGGGTTGGTCGTGAGGGCACTCTTCAACCTGTCGAAAGCCGATTCACATTCCTGAGACCACTGAAAGGGCATACCGGAAGCAAGTAGCTTATGAAGTGGTGCGGCTATGGAGGCAAAGTTTTGTACGAATCACCGAAAGTAAGAGGCGAGACCAAGGAAACTTCGCAAATCTTTTGGTTTGTCAGGGCGAGGGAAGCGAAGCACTGCAGCAGTTTTATCAGGGTCTGGGCGAATTCCGTCCTTGCTCACAACATGACCGAGTACCTTGATAGATCTGCTGGCGAAATGGCACTTTTTGGTGTTAATTTGAAGACCAGCGCCCGCAAGACAAGTCAGGACCTCGTCCAAGCGTTGCAGATGTTGAGGAAACGTCGATGAAAAGACAACAATTTCATCGAGGTAACATAGGCAAGTCTTCCATTTCAGGCCACGCAGCACGGTGTCAATCATGCGCTCAAAAGTTGCGGGCGCATTGCATAGACCGAACGGCATAACATTGAATTCGTATAGGCCGTTCGGGGTTGCAAACGCAGTTTTTTCTTTATCATCTTCGTGCATGGGGACTTGCCAATAGCCGGAACGCAAGTCGAGGCTTGAAAAGTATTCAGCACCCTGTAAGGAATCTAGGGCGTCGTCGATGCGTGGCATGGGGTATACGTCCTTTCTAGTGATCTTATTGAGTGCTCGGTAATCGACACAAAATCGTACGGAACCGTCTTTTTTACGTACCAGAACGATGGGCGACGACCAAGGACTGGTTGAGGGTCGGAATATCTCCCGTTGGAGCATATCGTCTACGTTTTCTTCAATGATTTTTTGTTCAGCTAGAGAGACGCGGTACGGACGGCGGTGCACAATGGATGTTCCGTCAGTCTGAATACGATGTGCAGTAGCAGTTGTCTGGCCTAGGGTGGATGAATGAACGTCAAAGGAGTTTGCATGCTTTTCCAACAAATCAAGCAGCTGCTGCTTCTGTGAGTCATTCAAGTCTTTGTTGATGGCTGCTGTAAAGGCCGAGGAAGCAGCATGATCTGCAGGATGGCCTTTAGAGGAGACAGGGGTAAGAGGCACAACGCACACAGGCTGCAGATCGGCAACGCAGGCGACAGTAGTGCCCCGTGGTAGTAAAATTTTATCTTGTGTGGTGTGGGTAGCAGCGAGGACAGTTGATCCATTCTTGAAGCGAGCCACACCTGATGCCAGAGCTATGCCTTTATTTAGACAACACGGTGACGGAGTGACCAAAATGTCACCAGAGTTGACGTCGTTCGACAAAACTGTCACTAACTGATGTTCGTTTGGTGGTAACTCGATGCCTACTGCACCGATGAGTCGAAGTGGCCTGTAGGTTTCGTCGTTGAGCAAGTGGTCCGTGTCAGTAAGATGAAAGACACGTTGTGCACAGCAAATAGCCGCAGAAGCAGGGGAAAAAAAGTCCCAGCCTAAAATGAGTTCATGGGAGCACGGGGATAGCACAGCGAATTCTATATGATGAAGAATTTCGTCGATTAGTACACGGGCAGTGCAGAGAGCGGAAGGGCGAATCATTGTTCCCTGGGCTGTAACCAGTGTCGGTCCATCATAAGGCGTCGTGACTTTTCGAAGACGAGCACACAAATCAGCACGAATAACAGAAAACGCAGCCCCAGTGTCCACCAAAGCATCAACGCCCACTCCCTCAACTGTGACCGCAATCATTGTAGGGGCGCGCTGGAGGAATTGGAGTCCTGTGTTGGATTGCAGTTTGTCCTCCAAAAACTGCATCGCTTAGTTTTCCGGACGCCGATCAGAAGTAAGGGAAGCAGGCTGAAGAGGAGAAGAAGAGCGCCGGTAAGGCGACGGTGAACGGCGTCGGGTTGATCGGTGACTACTGCGCAGTTCACCCGATGCTGGCGGAGATGGAGACCGACGCGGCGGTGACGAATAACGGCGACCCTGGTACAAGGCTTCTGCGGTATAGTCCCATTCGCGTATGTCATACCCTCGGCGCTCGTCTTGCTGGCGCTTGCGGCAAAGCGTGCAATGTGACCACGATAGCCGCAATAATAGCACGTAGGCCGAGTCGATCGATGAGGAGGGTAGTAGCTTGCGCTAACAGCACCAGGAGAGAGAGAAGTCAGAGGGACAGGTGACGGCTCACGCGGTGGTGATGAAAAGCTCGTGGGAAAGCTTGTGGGAGGTGCGGCAGCAACCGACGCGTACGTTCGTGGCGGTGACGTCGAGCTGACGGTGCCTGGTGGTGCGGCAACGGTGTGCGGGAACGATGGTAGAGTACGAGAGACAATGGGCTGCAGGTTGGCCATGTGGGTCATGGACGTGAGCTCTTCCCTGATGTCATCCCGCAATGACGTTGAAGAGGACTGAACGGGACACACTGAAGGTAGTGTGAATCCCATTGATTCTAATTCTTCACGTATAATCGTCCTTATCGTGTCTCGCAGGTTTGTATCAGTCGTAATACGGGCCGCGTCACTGTCTGATTGTAGGCGCATAGACTCACGTTCTTCGAGGCGCTGACAGGTTGTCGCAACATCAGCAACGGTAGCCGGGTTCTGGATCGCTAGGGCATTGAATGCGACGGGTGCAATCCCCTTAAGAAGCTGGCGCACCTTGTCTGATTCTGTCATTGGTGTGTCAACCCGGCGGCAAAGTGAAAGAACATCCTCGATGTAGGATGTGTACGACTCCCCGATGTGCTGTTTCCGAGTCGCGAGAGCTTTCTTTAC